TTCAATGTCTAGTGAACAAGACAAAGAAAGAAGTTTAAAAGATTATTGGTATCCAAAAGAAATTGGAGAACAAAATGAAATTTTACCAGCATTAAAAGCTAATGTTAATAGAGGATCACCTTTAACTAAAGGAATTGACTTTACAGTAACTACTATATTATATTCAATTCCATTGATAATTCTTTATATAAGTTATAAGACATGGTATAGCTTCCTTGATGTTAGTAATGGAATTTTTGTAGAAAATAATAAATGTGTTCTTATTGTTGGATTTGTAATTGTTCTTGGATTAATTGCAGGAGGAGTTTATTATTGGGCTACAAGAAGAAGACAAGTACTTTTAGTTGATTTTGCTGTAGCATGGCCAGATGATAATCTTAAAATTACAGCAGATGGAGTAAGAGATATTATTGTTAAATGTGGATTATTTGAACAACAATATATTGATTTCCAAACTAAACTTCTTTATAGAACTGGACTTGGAAATGAAACATATTTACCAAGACCATTCCATGAATATCCATTTAAAACAACTATGGCATTATCACGTGAAGAATGTGCAATTGTTATGAAAAATTGTTGTGATCAATTATTTGCACAAACAGGAATTGATCCAACTAAAGATATTGATATTGTTATTTGTAATTGTTCATTATTTAATCCAACACCATCAATTTCAGCTATGTTAATGAATATGTATAAATTAAAACAAACATGTAAAAATTATAATTTAGCAGGTATGGGATGTTCAGCTGGACTTGTTTCTATTGATTTAGCAAGAGATCTTCTTAATGTATATCCAAATATTAATTTACTTGTTTTCTCAACTGAGAATATTACTCAAAATTGGTATGATGGTAAAGAAAAAGGAATGTTAATTTCTAATACATTATTTAGAATGGGAGGTGCTGCTGTTTTATTATCTAATAAAAATTCATGGAGAAAGAAAGCTAAATTTGAATTACTTACAACAGTTAGAATTCATCATGGTAAATATGATGATTCATATCATGCAGTCTTCCAATTTGAAGATGGAGAAGGTAAAGTTGGAGTTAAAATTGGTAGAGAATTATTAAAATGTGTTACAAGAGCTTTAACACAAAATATGAATATTTTAATGCCACAAGTAATTTCATACAGAGATATGTTTAGATTTGTTATTTTCTTTATTAAACAAAAATTAGGAAAGATTGATGCTAAAGAAACATTCATGCCTAATTTCAGAGAAACTTTCCAAGCATATTGTATTCATGCAGGTGGAAGAGCTATTATTGATGGTCTTCAAGAAAACTTAAAACTTACAGATGAAGATTGTATGCCATCAAGAGCTACTCTTTATCGTGTTGGAAATACATCATCATCATCTGTATGGTATGAAATGAAATTCATTGAAAGAATTGATACATTAAAGAAAGGAGATAAAGTATGGCAAGTTGCATTTGGATCTGGATTAAAGTGTAATTCTTGTGTCTGGAGAAAGATTTGCAACTAATAATCTAAAATTTTATCAATTGATTCTTTTAAAATATTTTTTATGTGTTTCTTTTGTTTGTTTTTAAAAAATAAAATAAAAACTGAAATAAAAATTTGATTTACTCAACTTGTGGCATCATTGCAGCTTGTTGTGTACCAGCTTGGCTTTGTTGTCCTGCATTTTCATTCTTAATTCCACTGACTACATCATCAACTCTTAATAACGTACATGCAGCTTCAATAGCAGTTTTGATACATTGAGCTTTAACTTCATATGGTTCCCATACTCCTAATTCTTTCATATCAACAATAGTTCCTTTCATTCCATCAATACCAAATGTTGAATTCTCTTTATTACTAAGATGTTTTGCTCTTAATTCAGTTATGACTTTAACTACATCAACTCCACAATTAGCTGCTAATGTTCGTGGAATAACTTCCATAGCAACAGCAATAGATGAATATGGCCATTGTTTCTTACCTTCAATATTCTTTGCTTTCTTAGACAATGTAGTAGCAATATGCATTTCTGATGCTCCACCTCCTGGAACTAATTCAGGTCTAGCAATTAAGTTTTTACATGATGCCATTGCATCTTGTAAATTTCTTTCAACTTCATTTAAAACATCTTTACTGCCACCACGTAATAAAATAGTACAAGCTGTTGATTTTTCACATTCGGAAATAAATGCATAATATTCATCTCCTATTTTCTTGACTTCAAAGAGACCTGCAACTCCAACATCGGTTTCTTTAAGATCTTCTGTTCTATAAACAATACTTGCTCCTGTTGCTCGTGCAAGTCTTAAATTATCATTTTTACGTACTCTTCTTAATGCAGATATTCCTGCTTTTTGAAGATAATGTTGTGCAATATCTGAAATACCTTTTTCTGTAATAACTAAATCAGGTTTAACTCGAATAATATTTTCACATAATCTCTTCACATATTGTTCTTCTAATTCTATTAATTTACCAAAGTCTGTTGCTGTTGTAACTTCAACATCTGTTTGACTTTCTCCTTTAGTATATTCTAATGAACAATCTAATAAAACAACTCTTGGTTTATCAATTCTTCTTCTCATTTTAGAATGAACAACATCTTTATTTAATACAACTCCTTTAACAACCATTGACTCACTAAATTCTCCTCCTGCAATTTTTTCTACACGAGCATATCTTTTAGTATCAATATCTTCTTTTCCTTTGGCTTTCATTAAATCTCCTCCTGCACATATGGTAACTGCTTCAATAGCTAATTTACATAATATATCATTCCATGTATTCATAAATGTTGTTCCAATACAACTTCTAACAACTCCTGAAACAACTTTAGGATTACTTAAATCTATTGTAGTTGATATTTCATGTAATGATTCTAATGCATCTTCAAGTGCATCAAGAAATCCTGAAATAATAATTGTTGGATGAATTCCTTTTTGAATCCATGGCTCTGCTACTTGTAATACTTCTCCACAAAGAATAACTACTGATGTAGTTCCATCTCCAACAGTCTCATCTTGTGTTCTTGATAATTCAATCATATATTTTGCTGCTGGATGTTCTACTGTAAGATCTCTTAATACAGAATTTCCATCTGATGTAATAGTAACTCCTGCTTGTGGATCAATTAACATTTTTAACATTGATTTAGGTCCAAGACATGTTCGAATTAAATCAGCAACTGTTTTTCCTGCCATTATATTTGCTAACTGTGCTTTACGACCATTCTCTCTTTTAGTATTAGTATTAAGAACAAGAACTGGTGCGTTCATTCAATTTCCCTTCTGATATTTTAGTTCATTTCCTCACTTTTATTATTCTTTTCTATTTCTTTTCTATTTTTTTATTATATTTCTCTAACTCTAATAAAAACCTGAACTTTTTCAAATCAAAATAACAATTATTCCTCTAAAAATGTTATTCAGATTGTATATATCGCTGAATATTGAAATGGTTATATTTCTTCATAACTTCTCCTTCTACAAATGACACTCCAAGTCCTCTATAAAATATTTCTATCATAACAGTAACATCAGGATCTTTTAAATTTACTTTCCATTCTTTTGGCATCAAATCAGCTACATTTTTAATAACTATGTCTCTACTATAATTTGAGTTATGACGACAATTATATGAAATACCAAAAGTATTATACTTTTCTGTATCTATCTCACTTAATAAATCTTTTACTGATTTAAGAAGTTTTTCCATAGAAGATGACATAACAACTTTCTGTAAAGGTACAATTTTTTGTGTTTCTTTCATTACTATCCCTTCTTTCTTTGCTCCATCAAATAATTGTGAAACAACTTGAATTGCATCATAAGGTACTTCACAATACAACATACATTCAACACCAGTGTCATAAATAAAATTTTTTTTCTTTAATGCTTCTAACTCCTTTGCTAATTGCTGATCAATGTCATCTTTTTCATCATGTTTAATTGTATTATCTTCAAAACTTTTCTTTTCATCTTCAACTAAAAATCTATCTAACAAATCATTAACTTCTTTTTTACTTCCACGTTCTCTTTTAAGGTTATGACTAATAAGTA